GTAAAGTGTCATTTAGAGACAAAAACTAGCAAGTCAAACAAAGTGTACAAAGACAAGTGTTTAGTTTATTTATTCAAATAATAATGGAAGTGTGAGTGCCACCCAGTGGCCAAAGTTACGTATTACAACACAGGAAACCATTTGTTTATTTGGAAAAGTGAATATAGGCGGACGATTCAATGGAAAACAAAGAACGTTTTTTAAATGAATAAAACCAGCAACAGAACAAAAAAGCTGCTGTTTTCTAACGTTTTATAATTAATGTAATAACACTTGATAACTAAGGAATATTATTGGATTTTGTTACAACCTCACTGTCTTTGTGTTGTAGCTTGTGTGTTTACGCCCTGATTTTTGTAGCTAAAAGTGCAATTTCTCAAACTGTAATATTCACCTGTTTTCCCACTTATTCATCCCAGTTATAAACATACATGAAAAGAGTCAGCAGACCCACAAATAGGAAAATAGAAAACTTTTCAGACACCTTTAATGCACAGCTGCTGCAGATGTTAACTTCCTGTTACAGGATGGCTTAGACCAGCGGTGGGTAATCCTGGTCCTCGAGGGGCGCTGTCATCCATGTTTCACTTGTTTCTCTGAATCAGCACACCTGATTCAATGATTGAATTCCCTTCTCACGTTTTGTCTAAGCTTTGTAAACACTCATTCATTCAAATCAGGGGTGTTGGAGCAGAGAAACCTCTAAAACATGCAGGACAGCAGCCCTTGAGGACCAGCATTGTTCACCTCTGGGTTAGACTATAATCACACTGTCAATTTGCTAAAATGAAAAGAATGAAAAGTCAGCGACACAGTGTTTGTCCAGAGACGATGTTGTGGTCGAGTAAACAGGAAAGAAATGAATAACAGAGTTGCTGAGCTCGGCTCGATTTTTCAGCTGGAACTTTTATCGGACAGGGATCCATTTCTGGCATCCAGACGCTGACATGGCATTTTCAATCAGTGCAAGTTATCAAACAGATAAAAGATAAAAAACCTCCACCTGGACAGATCACACACTCACGGTGGTGATCAAATGTCTCTTACTTATTATTACACTTAGATTTTGTTCTTTTCCTCCAAATGCAAAAACAGCTGAAAATGTCTGCATTCATTGTTTTTTTCTTAGCAGTCAGGCGAGACTTGACTGATTCTTTCTCTGGGTCTGTTTAAAAAAACATGGGAAAAGTTTGTGTGCCTATCACATCCAGGGACTGGTGTGATGATTACATTCATATTTATTGGTTTCTTAGTTTGCAGACTCCTCCAGTCAGTTCAGAGATACAAGTGTGCAGTGCTACAAACTGATTTAAGATCAGCTGAACTCAAATGAGCTCAGTGTGTTTTGTACAAAAACACTTTTATACAGAAAAGACTCTTTGCAGAACTTTTTGAAAAAGTACTTTGCAGAGTAAATGAAACAAGGTGGAGATAAAAAAAAGACAAATCACATGGTTTGCAAAAGGGGACATAGTGATATATACAGCTCTGGTGCTTATCTGATACATACCTGATATCAGGTTCTCAATGGCTACTAAAACATATCAGGTATACACCTGGTACATAAAAAACAGACACTGACCTGGTTTTTACCTTCTTGTAAGATACACTCCTGATCAAAATCTTAAGACCAGTCAAAAAAGTGCAAGAATTTGCATTTTGCACTATTGGATCTTAAGAAGGTTCTAAGTAGAGCTTCACAATGTTAAAAGAAGAAATCAGTGCAAGAGACAAGAACTTTTGAGCAGGGAATTTTCTGAAAACTACATTTACACTCAAACATGAATTTTTCAAAAGTTTAAGACCATAGCTCAAAAAAACCCGATAACCCCCCAAAGAGAAATCAAAGTGTCAAAAAAGGACTCAGTAATGAGRAGCTCCACCATTCTTGTTGATGACTTCAAACAATGGTTTAGGCATGCTTGATGCCAGTGTTTCCAGGAGGCTAGTGGGAACGTTGCTCCAAGTGTTGAAGATGGCTTCACGAAGAGCATCCACTGTCTGGAACTGATGTCCATTTTTGTAAACTTCCATCCCCAAATGTTCTCAGTTGGGTTTAGATCCGGGGAACATGCAGGATGGTCCAAAACAGTGATGTTATTC